TCCAAATTCAAATTCAAAATATTTTATTTCGCCAAATATTACAGCATAGAAAAATGAAATGAAATAAAATAATACATTAAATTAAATTAAAATTAAAAATACATATTATTGATAAGAGTCATGGGCCTCAACCGCTACCACTATCCTATGTGCTTGTCCGCATGCAAGCACATCCACTGGTATAGCAGCGGAGTCCCACCGGTCAGTAAAAACGTTCAGGATGCTGTTAGATGATCTACGCAGACGGCTCAGCAGCGACGCAGTATGCTTGCGCAGGATCGCGTGGAAATCATCCGATGCCGTCTCCGCGAACATACCGGAAGCACTTCAGAACCGTGGCAGACCCAGCAGCATCCTGAACGCGTTATTATATTGTACGCGCAGTGCGCCGGCTGACCGCTGCGCATATAAGACCCAGAGGCTGCAAGTGTAGAAAGATTGGCAGAAAGCTTTGAATAGCGTTATCTTGACTTCGTTAGAGCAGCGTGAAATGTAATATGTATAATGATGTAAGGCTTGAAAAAAAATTATTTTTTTCTAGTACTTCAAGTGACAGTGAGTCTAGCGCCTGATGGTAAGCTACACGCCTGTTAAGCTGCGCTTAAATTGCAAAGATCTGACTGAGGGGTACTACCACTGCGCCCGTCACCCTGAGACATAAGTTGACAAGTCCCATACGCCTGTAATTTCAGTAGCACCCTTACCCTTCAAAACCGGAACACAGCAATGCTGACATTACTGGTTGGCGGCAGAAATACGTAAAGTAGCAGTACTACCCTGGACGAACTCTTTCACAAGGAGCTCTACTGCTAATAAATTGTGCTTTTGGTCTTTTTGGTCGAAAATTATGATCCCGTGCAATTTTAAAACTTTAAAATTCTACGGGAAAATGGCGTAAGTAGGTACTTAAAACGACAATACGTGTTACAAGCTTCTAAATCGTATTTACTGGATATTATTGACTTAAATTACTAAGTGAATATTCAAATTTAGGATCAAATTTAATAGTTTTAATTGTGAAACTTTGAGGTACAAACTACCTAAGGCAATTGAAGTACTGCTACTTTTGCACCAGACTACGTTATTCTTTTAAATTGTCATTTTCCTTAAGTTATGTAAGAAATTTTCAATTAAAAATAGTCTCTACACGATTAACAAAAGGAATAAAACAAAAACTTTCAATGATTCACATTATAGAGCGAGAGATAATCTACAGGCACACACCACCAAAATCAAAGACAACGGCTTATTTAAACAACTCGTTTACATTGCTGTTTAATTTATAATGGTAGGAACACACAGCTAACTAAAAGAGCATTGTATTCCTATGTGATTATTAGAATGCAACGTGTGCTCAGAGAAGTTGACATCATCGTGTAAATCTTGCAGTTCTTGGAATAACGCATGTCTGCCGTTCACCAAAGACACATCAAAATGCTTTATTTCATGGAACATTTTACCAGATTGTTTTATTTTTCTTTAAATTTTTAACAAATTACTAGAATATTATTGGGTTTTAATTGTAATACGTTATTTTAAGTACACAAGTTTTTAAAGGTTTTGTTTGAAGTAAAAAAAAGCACGTATCTTATATTTAAGAGATATACTTACCAAAAAAAATCGCCTTATCAAAAAATCAGTAACGTTTTTCAAAAATAATAAAAATACCATTTTTCACTTTGAATGTGATGTAATAAAATTATTTTAAGCTGTAGCTGTATTAATAATGCAAAAATTACGATTCATTTATAAATATAAGAAAGAGGCTGACAAAATTCAATGGCCTTAATCGAAATAAGAAAGCATGGTGCGATACGAGTCCCGGCCGGTAATATGGTGCAACGCAGTGCGGCGCGTGTCGGAGTGACCGGACAACTGGCGGCAACCACCCAATGTCCGCAGCTTCGAATCTGGGAAATCTGTATGTAACACGTAGTACTTAGTGATACTATGCTATTTCTAAGATCCAATAGAGTTCTGAAGACGTCTAAACAGTACTTCTCTGTCATGTTCAAGGGACAATCTTCTCGTAATAATAGCATACACTAATTAACAATTTATTGAGTTCGCTACTTCTGTACATTAATTTATTAAGCTTTGATATGTACCGGATTATTAAACAATGTAAGTATCTAAGTAAATATAATTTAAAATGTAAAACCAACTAAATATACTAGGTATATTTTTGTTTCGTGAAGTTCAGTATGTAGTTTGAAGTGTAGATTGTTTATTTCAATTTCCCAGTATTTGTCATTAGGTTGTCAGCACTGGGTGGCAGCTGCTTCTGGCTGGTGCAAACAGTGCAACAGAACGTTACATTACACGCAAACACAGAAAATACTCTTGGATTTTTTTTCTAACATTTACAGTTTATGCTAATATGTATTTTGTTCGGTCAAGGTACACTTCATGGATTCCAATTTATTTACACTAGCTTGGTAATGCATAACGTTACGAATCTGTTTCTTAATGCGTTGATAAAAGAACACTAAACGAAAGCGACTTTATCAAACTGATTCCTAATAGAATTTTGATAAACACACTCAAAGACCGTTAACATCATTAACAGTACAATCTGTGTAATTGCGGTAACCTTGTTTTAGGTAAAATATTTGTCTAAAATAAAGTAGTCTAATAAATAACCAAGACAAATTGTAGCAGTGCGTTTATCGTAATCAGTTTTGGAACGTAATTTTGTAGTTTTTACAACAAATGTCATTAAAATCGTTTATTTCTTAAATATTATAGTTTTGAAAAAAAGAAAAACGGCGGGTTTTTGTAGTTACAGTTTGTTTACAAATTAATTTTTAATATAAAGTATTATTACGTTTTATGTTTCTTTCTTGCTTGATTAAGCTGATGGCTCTATAGCCAAAGCTCAACAAATAAACAACTTAATACTATAGCATAGAAAGAGAAAACAACAATGAACATTTATATCAAACTATCTTTTTCAGTGGCGATAAATGTTATATTTACATGCCGGCGTTGCTCCATTGCACATACATGAGTATAGTGTTCTGTGCTTATATTGCACAAACAAGTTATAAAAAGGTTGAATTGTTGTTTGGTTTCTTTCTTTAATTTTCATCATTTAACGCTGTGGAAATTGTTTTACAAACCGACTGTTTATTGCACATACCATTATGGAACCCTCTTCGCCATGGAAAAAGCCGAACGAAGTAATGCAGTTACACAAACTGAAGAAACGGAAGAAAGCGTTACAGGTACTTTACAGCTTACTGTCTTGTGTAATAACTTATATTTCTAGTTTTTTTAACTACGTTATAGTTCTTTAGCCCTTGATTATGTGATGCGACGTCTTTAAAAATAAGCTATGTTTACCCATTGTTAAACTTCGTTCTTTTCGCGGCAAACTGTGTTGTTTGTTGTTGCTGCTCACGTGCCATTCTACATTATATTACGTGTTAAAAGTTTAAATATAACTGTAAATAAAGATAATATACTTTTGTAAATTCGCAACATTGGTTTAATAATTTTTGAGTTGATGTGGCCATCTTCAAAATGACAACTTTCAAGAGAGAGATTTACAGTTATATTAGGAACGGGATTAGTTGATAACTTTTATATGCATAAATAGGAGTTATAAAATTTCGCCTTCATGTACTTCATGTTATTTTTATGATTTTCAAGAGAGCACTTTTTATAATAATAATAATAATAATAATAATAATAATTTTATTCTCAGACAACATGATCCATAATATTTGTTAATAAAAAATTTTTATGATCACATGTGACTTCATTATACTGGAGTGTGAATTATTGTGAATAGTTACTTTATTTTTCTTTCCTTTTACCAGGAGCGCATGAAGCATCCTGCAACCTCATCTACTGAGGAATCCACTAATTTTACAACTGTAGACTTAGATTTCTCAAGGATTCTTGGTGGAGATATAGAAAAAAGACGGAATCCCTTTTCAAAGTAAGTTCTGTTCTTTACACATACTGTCTGTCACCCTATGGGCTAAGCTTATGACACCATGATCCATTACTTTCCACAGAGCCTAATATATTCATGGCAAGTTCTGTTCCTTTGACAAGGATATCTATATAATGCCCCAGAAGTTAGAAGAAAAACAGTTGAACAGTTCTTTATTTTTAATTTTTAACATAAAAGCTTTTTTAAATCTTGTATTATTGTGGGTTTGTGGATGTATACAGTTATTATTGTCACTTCACCATTGGTACTTTAATTTCAACAGAAACAATAATCAGCAGAATAAAAAAGCCAGATTAGAAGTGGAGTCAGGACTTGATGAATCAAGTGATAAAACACTTTTTGCTCTATTAAAGTTACCTGCAAAAATACAAGAGAAACCTCCCATTGAAGTTGACACAGAGAAATTATCTACTTTCTCAAATTTACTGCAGAAATTCACAGCTGAACATAGTGTAGAGACAGTAAGTTAATTTCTAGATTTCTGGGTAAAGGCCCTATGTTACATTTGTTCCAAAATGGTTACCAATGCTCACTTGGTATGGTATATTGTAATGGGCTGCATTCTGCAACTCTACATTGTAGTGCCTATTTAGCATATGTTGGGTTCAGGATATTACTCATGCCACCTGAGCTTTTCCAGGAATCGTAGCATCTCATTGGATTTGCTGAAGATTTCAGAAAGTGATCTTGGCAATCTGAGGTCACATCTTAAGGGTCACAACAGAGTGTTGTAGTAGGATGTATGCTCTGCATAGAAGGCTGTCCATGATACTGGTCAATTTTTAATATCAATGTTCACATTATCAATACGAAATTAATTCTTTTAAATTGTGCTATTTGGTAAGGGTACAAAAATTAAGTCTTAGAACTTCTAATGATTCAAAATAATGACAACATGCTGCATTTTCCTTCAGAAAGTCATAGAAAAGAAGTGCAAGCATCTACCCATTGATTGGGCTCTAAAGACAAAAGTTAGACTGATGTCTCCAAAACCATTTGCTTGGACAGCAAAGTTAAAAGCCAGTGAAGAGGCATCAGGAATCACAGGGTGAGTTTAGTTTTATATTCATCCATTTTCATGCCTGTAATACAGGATGTACCTGCCTACATTTTCATTGTTGTAGCAAAGACACTGGACACTTGTCAATTTAATTTATATATATTTTCGTCTTTTGTTTGTTTGTACACAATATCAAGTTATATCACACAAAAATAAACACTGCAAATTAATAATAAACATTGTGTTCTGGTTACAAATTAAACGCATTCTGTTGTATTAAATAAAAATAACATAAGAAATGTAATTCAATTTTGATCATTATGTCAATTTATTCAAAGAACTTTCAGTTTCACAAGTTGTTTTCATTCCCGTAAAATTTTTGATATAGTACTCACGCAACTGTCAGTGCGAGTTCTCTGAGTAGTTCAGTCAACTTAATTGGATTTGCTCATTTTCTTTTCACTGACATGTTACAGATTCGTACGTTGTCTAGACACAACATCCTCTCAAACTCTAGACACGTCACCACATGCCCGTTTCCACCAAACTTGTCTTTATTGGCAACATCCACACCTGCCCTGGCTAGAAATGTATCCGCGGTCCTCAGGCAAGGTTGCTGCTACCAGCTTTATGGCAACTAATGAGCTAGTCAAGCAAGCATTACATAGAGAATGGACAGAGAGTTTGCGGTCTTTGTTTCAGGTAAGTAGGTGCTGATTATATATATATTGATGTAATTGTTATATTGAAGATACTTCAAAACTTTTGTAAGGCGAAAAGAATATGAACATGCTTTTGTAATACTATAGCATAATAAGAAAAGTATGTGCGTGCAGCCCGCGGACACACACGTTCGCATAATCTCGCTCTGCACAGCAATGGTCGCACGCGCCATTCATTAGAATTGAAGTGTCCGCTCAGTGTTTAAAATAATCTTCTGTGTTAATTTTTTTTTTATAAATGTATCGTTACGTATATGCAAATTCGCATTTCATTACAAAACTGTATAAAGTACTGCATTTGACAAAGGCTATTTCAGTATAGCACGAGAACACTCATGATCTACACCTTAATTTTTTCAATTGTTTTGTACTGTAAGTATAATAATAATGTGACAACCCTACGCTCCGACGATGCGACGTGTAGGCATTGATGCTACTTGTATTATTATACTATGGTAATACGCTGGTTCATGTATAATACACTGAACTGTCCATTCATAGACTTATAATTTATAACAGTTGCTGCGCGCCCTCCATTGTCCGTACTTTTACGTGTGCGCGAACACATTCACGTGCCTGTTCCGCGCAGCGGGCCTGTGCGGCGTGTCCGAGCCCTGCGCACTAATCGCCCCTACCACTAGAGGTTTTAGACAGACGCTCAGACAGGAAGGTAACTTTCACATATTTCAATTTACATGGAAGTACATTTGGGTTAGTGTTTAATTATTTGGAATGTATACAGTCTCTTGGTGCAATAAAGTAAAATAATTAAAATTTTTGAGGAAAGGGTTTAGGAAATCACGCTTTAAGGGAATTTATACGTCTTTTGTACTACAAAAATCACTTTGAAATCATTAGGAACTAATTTGGTAATATCACAGCGCTTTTTAACCATCTTTGCAGACGTGGAGTTCACAATGCCGCTCCGTCCAGACCATAAGAAGAAACTAAACAATTCCACAGAAGATCAGCCACGGAACTCGTCATATGACAGTTGCTACGACACCATGGATGAAGGAAAATCACAACAAGATTATAATCAAGATGACTGTTCTGGAGACGAAGAGGACCCTGATCAATTCTTGGCACAGATGGGCTTGGAAACTGAAATTATTAAGAAAATTAACATTGCACAGGTAAATAAATTGCTGTAATCTTATTGCATCGCATTTATTCACTTTCGATTTATTCAAATTTCATTTCATTTCACACATAACTGCCTTAAGCCGGTCAGAAAAACCTTTATGTCCATACAATAAAAGCGAAAAAGACATCGAGTGTTTCGCTTCTTCGGATCGCCGACGTCAAACGCACAACGTCATTTTCGCTCTTATTACAAGGAAATAAATATTTTCTGATTGGCATAATACGGATCCGTGTCGATAAGTGTGGTGACTCCCTTACTCGAACCTGGGACCTCTGCCACGCAGAGGTCCCAGGTTCGATTCTGGGTTGGAAGAAATATTTGTATGGCCTACATTTATTACTCTCGTGAGTTTGGATATAATTTGTGGTTCTCTATGTGTGTGTGTCCATGGCACCCACGACACAGGGTTTCCCTAGTGCCATTAAAAAAAATTTAAGAGGGACCTGAAATCGGCTTTTTTCCATTTTTGATGCTAACACCTTCTATTGCGTTTGGGTTCTTAGTTACTACTTTGTTCCATTTTTCCGGCCCACATAATAGAAACAACACAAAATATAAACAAAACGTCGTCTCTAACCGCTACGCTCCTAACGTCTCTCTTTTGCTTCCTCAATTTGCATCAGTTTCTTAGGGTCGTATTCTAGAACTCTACTCAATACTGAAGTCAGGACTTGAGAATTGCAGTGAGCACTGAAAATCATACTCAAGCCCTTGCTATTAGGGTCGTATTGTGTTTGTGCCAGTGCTTGAAATCATAGTCAAGTCTGCTCAATTCCTGACTTGAGCATTGAGTCGAGTTCTGGAATACGACCCTTAGTACACTATCTTATATGAAATGAACCGGTTACTTGGTTTATCCCATTGTAATAATAATAATTCATCATTATTTTGCAGAATAGAATAACACAGAACGCCGAAAGCAGCGTAGATAGTGCGGCGGAGTCGTTAGTATTCGTGCGTGGCGCCGACGCACAGGCACTGTTCAACTTCTTACTAAACTGCAAGTCCATCGTGAGTCCCACCGGGCCTTTTGCTGGAGTGCCACCGACGCTGCTATCGCCCACGGCTTTTCATGGAGGGACGTTGCAATCCTTAAAGGTAAATACATGTTGAAGAGTACCTCGATGTATCTCTAAACCAGGGCTTCTTAAACTTTTTATAGTAATGGACCTCTCTCAAAATTTCAAAGAACATATGGACCCTTTCAGAAAAGATGTGACAGGCTCACTCGCTGTAATAATTAACAGCCTTCAATGGGCGCGAAAATTCAAAAAGGTCACGCGCACTGTATTTATTTATCTTTATTTACTCACAATATATTGTACACCAATTTTTATATTAATGCATTATATTAGGCAGGCTTGCCATAGAACTCCAGCGTTCACTACTGCCATTAGGGGTCCATGGACCACAGGTTAAGAAACCCTGCTGTAGATCAATAATTCCCTAGTGGCTCATATCGACCCCCGAGGTCCACACCTATCTATACATATACAACCATTGGCCTACTAACAAATGGCCGTCGGGTCTAATACAAAAACCACGAAAAAAATGTCCGAAGTTAACCTATACAAACGTAGTGTCATGTAACGAAATATAAAACGAAGACTGTTACCCGATTGTCGCTCTGTATGCGATTTTAACGCCCTATAGGTGCTGACACTTTTTAGCGCGAACTCAACATCCATTTATTGATAGGTCAATGTATACAATAAATTTTTGCCATTGTCCATGACAACAGTTAGACGATTTTGAACCTGACCATAGACGGTTTAGTGATGCCCAATTGTAATGCTAACTACGAATCGATTTTGTTAATGAAATGAAGCGATTTACTTAATTGAGTCATACTAGCGGTTTTCCTTACACGAAAATACATAACCTATAAAAGCATATATTTAAAATTTCCGAAATCTTAATTTTAAATCCTCCTTCGAATCCTTACACTTAAATACTCGTTGGATTGCGATTGAAATGTTCGATTTACTAATCGATTATAAAAACTTTAATTGAATGAACCGAATGTTTTTTTTTCGTACAGCACTATGCAACCATAGATAAGTCATAGAAGTATAGATGGAAAATAACCTCACTTTTAGACTACCATTTTTCAAATACGATTTTATGATGCTATTCAAATGAATATTGTTGGAAAAAGTGATGAGATATCAAGTCGAAAACTTCGAAATATACGCGAGTGTTAGTTAATCGATTTATTGAGTGATTGCATTAGAATATTAACTGAACAGGTTTGTTTACTTTTTGTTTAAAATGAATTGGAAGACTTCACAATGTTTGACAGGTCCGTGAAAACATAATACATTCGGAGAGCAAGAAGTACTACTCGATAGAGCTGCGCGGTCCCATATTGCCGACAACAGTGCACTCTTTATTCAAAGTTTTGAATACCAGCTCCTCGGCGCAGTTCAGTGCCACCTTCGCTCACCATCAACCCTCTTTGGCTTTTTCATGGGCTGCTAGTAGTATCGCTGCAGGTTGGTATATATAATAATAACGCACACACTCATAATAGCCCCGCAATACGGAACCCTGTGTCTCGGGTGCCATGGGCACAGGCATAGACAACCACAAATTACACCCAAACTCAAGAGGAGAAATAAATGTACCTATACCATACCATAGGAGTAGTAGAACTCCTTGTGAAAGAGTTCGTCCAGGAAAGTACTGGACGAACTTATCTATTTCTGCTGCCAAGTAGCAGTATTACTGTGTTCCGGTTTTGAAGGGTAAGGGTGGTGGTGAAATTACTGGGACTTGTTAATTTATGTCTCAGATCCTTGCGATTTAAAGGTCTGAGAGGCAATGCAACTGTTATGGACAGACGTGTAGCTTGCCATCAGGCGCACGGATTGTTCGTCCCGTCACTTGATAATGTAAAAAAAAATACTCCCGGCCCGGGAATCGAACCCGGAACCTTTGCGTGGCAGACCAGCATATAGACTTTGTTTTAATCAAATATAATATTTTTGTATATTTACCATCGGATTAATTTGTGGTTGAATGGACCTACCATCATATAAATTTTACTTTAATACTAACATAATAGCCAACACTTTCACTTTGGTGCGAGTTCTGGTACAGCTTTGTCGCTTGATCGTGACAAGTTTAAATCAAGTATGGCAGACTATTAAGGCCGTAAACGCTGTATTTTTACTTGTCAGTAGAAATGTGCGCCGCAATGACACCGATGAATTGAACCGGCGTAAAAGCGGCGTCGCGAGAATTGATTCTTTTTGCGCGTTACGTATCGATGATCCAAGCGGAAGTGTAACGCGTGACGTCTTCTTCACTCTTATTACATGGTCATAAAGGTTTTACGGACCGGCTCAACTGTGGCGACTCCCTGAAGTGATGAAATTAAAATTTGAAAAGTAACTCATAAAATAAAATAATATTTTTTGTTATTTTTGGCACCAGGCAAATCGCATATTATATGCCTGACGCCATCCATGTACAAATTTTTAAAAGTTTTTTACTTTCACAGTTGGCCTAATGAACGAAATCAATTTTTATTCATCTACTTTTTCTTAAGAATAAATGGATTTGATTATCTTTATTGAATTATAAACTTTAAAATATGTCTACCTTTACATTTTTAAATGAACCTGTGCCCAGCAGATGGACGAATAAAGGGCCGATGATTGCTCAGATGCAACATATCCGTCTATTTATTATATAACGTGACCAATATTCAGTCGACAATCGACAGAATATTTATCGATTGCAATCACTAATCGCTTGCAAGCAGGAACTTCAGCGCAATGAACTGTTATTTTACTCCATCATCAAAAAAGACAGACTATACCATCTGATGTGTCTGTTTGCTAATTAAAGTAACATAATAAAAATTATTTTATATAATTTATACATATATCGTTTCAGATGAATCATCAAAAGAGAATGAGCCAAATCATTTTACCAAAGCATTTAACAAGGAGAACTTGTCCGACTGTGGCATAAGCGAGGAAATGCTACAGCACTTCTGTTCTTCAGACCCTAGTCTCATAAAGTCTCTTGACAGTGTGAAATATAACACAGAGGATAATACTTATACATGGTGATATTTTAATTGTTGGTTTGTGACGGTTTCAGTTGTATAAAAATTTTACTCATTTATTGTGATCATGAAGTAAATATGTATTTTTCTAAACTTATTTGTTTTAATTAGCAATTTTGAAATCACTGAAGAATACATTGATATTGGATTTAATTTAGGGATTCCGCAAACAGTTCGCATTCAAGGGTTTCTGTCGTTCCGATTTTTGAGAGTATAAAAAACGTGACACCGAAGCAACGACGCAGTCACAAGACAGTATTGCAGAAGGTAAAGCGTCTGTCGTGCCATCTGTCTGTACAAACTCATTAACATCATTAAAGGTGAGGCGAGTGCAATCTTGTGAGTTATGAGTCGCGTAATTTACGTTGCATTAAGTTTCATACAAAAGTCCGATTTGTGCTACACGTCGACACAAAATGAGTTGTATGCCGACACACGCGTGCAAAGTACTACCTTCTACCCTCCACCTGTACGATCATGTCACACAGTTGCAGCTGAAGTTCGGTCGTATTTACTCGCATCTGGACGTTCAGACGGACATAAACTTTCATATAGTACAGGAAACTATTTTTTCATATTTAATAGATATACCCAATTTCTTTTTTTTTTCTAACATCTAATGGTTCATAAATGCACAATATTTTTATTGTATCCATTATTTACACTATACGACACAAACACCCCATACAAACACTTAAAATCGACTGAATAAAATACGTTTGTCAGGGGCCCCAACCGAATTTCAATCAAACTTACAACTGCGACACGCAAAAAAACGCAACTCACAACTCAAAAAATTACGCTCGCCTGGCCTCACCTTTTGGTGTCCAGTGGAAAAAAAAAAAGATAAGTAAATAAATAATGCATAATTTCCTTAATTGTACGATTTATTTCAATTTTCATTTTTGGTAAATTAAAAATAAAGATTTCATAAGTCCACAATCACTTATACAATACAAAGATTCATACAGATCAGGATGAAATAAATAATATTGTGAGTTCAGGTTTAAAATGACAGTATAATAATAATTATGTTACTTAACATAACTGTTCTAATCACTATGTAACTGTTCTAATCACTTTAAAACTCAAGGTGGAACAGGAATCTTGGAAGCTTAATCTAGAATATTTTATCTATGTGACCATTAGCCGCTCACTGAAACAAACAACACACTATTAGGCTTACACTACATTTGTCAGCACGCTTTCGTAACGCACCCATGAATAAGGTCAGCAAACTCACTTCCTAAAAATATATCTGCTACTGAGTAAAATTTGATACAGCACAAGCTAAAAATTAATTCTACGCGATAGGAGGAAGTCTCTGTTATTGCTCATCCATGAAAGGTCACGCACAAGACCCCTAGTGCTAAAATTGTCAAGAAAGCGGGAGCAAGCCTATGCGCGATACTTGATATTGATATTCTTTGATTTATAGATTATAAGACTTTCGTGGTTATTTTAATGATTATTAATTTGCTTTTCCTTTTTTTAACGCACACTCATAGCCCTGGGGTAACCCTGTATCTCGGGTGACATGAACACACATAGACAAGCACAAATTACAATCAAACACTGAGACAAATTAAAGTAGGTGATATAAATATTTCTCCCGACCCGGAAATCTAACCCGGGTCCACTGCGTGGCAGCCCAGCGTAAAGTATTTGTAACCGCTAGGCTTCTTCTTTGTCATTTTAATTATTTTTAGAATTTCGCCAGTATTAAGTGTTCCGTTAAGTAATTTTTATCGGTTTATGTGGGTTCTGCTATTCAACAAGTTTTGTGGTACTTTGTTAGAAAAACAAGCTTACGTTGTAAATTTTCGGTAAGGGCCTCGGAAGCAATATAAACTACACTACAAATATAATTTTTTTGTGTTAAGTTAATATAAAATGAACGTGTTTTCAATTCTTTTTTGTGCTGGTAGGCGTTGAGCCTATAGTGGGCGGTAAGCCAAAAAATTTGGGAACCTGCGCTCTAGATAACAATCAATGATACATAGAAACGAGATCACGTACGCAATGTTTTTTAAAAAGGTTAAAGCACGATATATATCACTCTTCTGATTTAGGTACGAGGCGGTGGTTATAGTCTATGCATTACTATAAAATGTAGTGTACAATAGACACATAAGAATATCATATGACATATACGGACTGGATGTAGAGGCATGCTGATAAATATAGCATAACCCTTACAGCTATTATTTCACACAACTACCCTAGCCGAAAGTTTACACTACACATTGACACATTAAAACAACGGGTACATTATAGTAGATATTACCTGCTAGTGTCAAGTTGATTTGCGGTGTATAACTTACGCGAGCTTACGATTTCTGAAAAAGAAAAATGTAATAATATAGTTCCGCCTATTATAATTAGAGATGCTCAGAGCAAACAAAAATATTTAATAAAGAAAGGCAAAATTAAAAGGTCACAAGTTCTTTAGTAATTTGTCAAACAAATGTTACTAGACACTGTAACGTATACGGTTGAAGGTTTCTTGTGCCCCGTGGCGTACTATGGCCTAATATAATCTTTAGACTAGGTCTTAAATTTAGACCACAATACGCCTAATTCGAGTAGGGTACTTCACAAAATACACAATATTAATGTATGGTTGTATTGTCAAACATGTAACTCACATTAGAGGAGGCGGTAGAAGTGGGCTGTCCGGGTACGGAGTACTGCGGGCGGAAGTTGGAGAAGTTAGCCGCCGCCGCAGCCGCCGGGGAGAAGCCGGGCAGCGTCCCACCAGGTTGGAACCCTCCCGGGAACTGTCCCAGTTGAGCTGCAGACCGCACACAAATCAGTTACATGTCACAAAATAAAAATATTTAATTTTGTCCCTTATTTGACATATCATTTGGCAATATCCGCCAATTGTAACCTTTACATGACGAAGTATTGTTCTGTTTTATGAAAGAATGTCTTGTTCTTTATTGTATTCAATAAGACTTTTCGTGTTATGGTGTAAAGCGTATAACACAATTAATAAACATTTATAACTGGACGTATTGCATAGTCGGCGTACGTGTTCAATATTACAGTACATAAAACAAGAGTAAGAGATTAAGAATCAGGACTTCTCGATTGTAGATTTAATTGAATGGGATCCTATTATTTGCGCTACAGCCGCACACGTGTTTATTGTTGTCTTATTCCTTTTATCATATTTAATAACTTAGCAATATATATCGCACCCCTCACGTAAGAATGGCATAAGTGGACTTACGTCGAAAATGTTTATTGCTCCATTAGATACAGTAAAATATAGCCCACAACCTCTCTCACTCTTGTAACTCTATCTACGATATTAGTCGATAGAGTTCCAAGAATTAAGTTGTCATGTCAATTTAGTTGCCATGGAAACACACATAGACAACCACAAATTACACCCAAACTCACAAGAGAGAAATAAAAGTAGCCTATACAAATATTTCTGTGTGGCAGTCGGCATGGTAATCGTTCGGCCACCGGGGCAGTTAGATTATTATTATTGATATTAATTGGAGAGGATGTGGGTTATATTTTTGTGGATCTAATGGAGTTATAAACGTTTTTGACGTAACTCCACTTACGCCAATCTTCCATGAGGGGTGTGAAATATTTTTTAATTTAATCATTTATTGCACAGGAAAACACAAATCCCATTAAGTAATGTCAACCCATGAACATGTAATAAGCATTGAAAAAAAAATTAAGTGTTACCAGTGGGTGGCGGGTTGCCGGCAGTGGCGGCAAGGCGCGAGAGGATGGAGCGCTCGGACATCTGCAGGCGCTGCGCCACAGGAGGGATGCGCGCCAAAGTGGCCGGCAGTCGCGACACGTCTGACTTCATGTCCGACAACAGCTCCTCCAACTGGTTCAGCACCTGACAAATAACATTAACGCACTTTGTAGTATTTTGGTCTATATTTATTGTTTTTTTTTTCTTGCCATACAACCACACATGAAATGGGAATTCCTGTACTATGAGTACCAGAGTAACAGAATTCATTCCGGAGCACTTTCCAGATGAAGACCAGAATCAATTTAGAAAAGTTCATTTCGCAAATTGCTCCTACCGGGCTTCGAACCCGGGACCTCCTTATTCAGCGCTCAGTGTGGTCTGCACTCTGAAATCATAAATGTCTTTCAGAGTCAAAATATCTGTAAATTAATTTGTTGGATTAAATGAGTGCATTTTGTCAGTGCAACTACTATTCCTGTTGGATAATGATCCATAATGATGCATAAGATAAAAACACCCCAAAGACCTATAACTCATGTTATTAGTACTTGTGAATTTATTTACCTTATGCAATACAGCATTGGCGGGTTTGTTTCCAGCGAGAGACTCCTTGCTGAGGTGCTGGTGCGACTCTGCGAGGCACTCGACCTCGGCAAAGCGCGCATTCAGCGACATCGCAGGATGGTTCGGGTCCTGCGTTAGGTTCAGGTACGCGGCTCGCCTCAGCTGCTCCTCGATTACTAGAGCTTGCTCCAACAACTGAAAAACAAATGATTTATTTTAATATCATGCCTTTTATCACATTTACCATCCTCGAAAAATATGACCTTAATTATTTGAATTAATATTGTACCTTGAAGCGACGAGCAAGGAACTTGTTCTTGATCTCCAGGAAGTTCCCTTTTCCGACGTCCATCTTGAACGGCTCGTTGATGATTGCAAAACGCAAGTCGTTCTGAATGTCCTGCCAGCGGCCATACCCGTGGGTTACTATGCCGGCCAACAGCCAGTAATCGTGCCGCCTGTGCCATATCTCGTATTCCCTGCCGGGCGCTGCTGCGCGCTCTTCATTCAACCAGAGCGTGTGGAGCTCCGTGAATCCACCGTCAGCAATATTGAACATGAATTTGCGTCGCTCTACTTTGAGATCTTCTTCCTCTTTAACTAGAACGACGTCATCGTCATCGTCGTCTTTCTTTTCCTCCTTGGGCTTTTCTGAACTTTCAGACTCCGCCTTATCGCTCTTGGCGTCGTCTTTTTTGTCGGCGTCCTCTTTAGACTCTTCTTTGACTTTCTCAGCATCTTTGTCTTCTACTTTTTTCTCATCAGACTTCTCTCCCTTCTCTTCCTTAGGAGGTTCCTCGTCAACAGACATACGTCTTTCAGAATCTTTAGGCTCCTCGCTCATTTCTTTAAGCTGTTCCTTCTCCTCTGATTTGATCTCATTCTCGTCCTTAATATCACTGACGTCCATCAATTCGTCTTTAACTTTCATCTCTTTATCGGATTTGTCGTCTTTTGTTTCTTCCTTATCGTCCTTTTCAGAACCACCAGGCGTGGGTGCTTGGCCCGAAGCTTGTGTGGCTTGTGTGGGGGCGGGAGAAGGCGCAGCGGAAGTAATGGGTGTGGCGGTGGATGGAGCCGGACTGGGTGCGGCGCTCTCGTTGGCGCCGGCAATCTTCACTGGTTCCACTGGTTTACGGATCAATTCGGGCATGCTGTAGTACCCGTTGATATGCTCGAACTCCTGCACTTTCTTTCTTATCAAGCTCATAACGCCGATCCGTGTCAATACATGCTGTCTGGATAAACCTTCCCTAGGCACGCCATCGGCAAAGGTTTCAGCGTTGTCCGCACCGGGTTCACAAAGATGACGCATGAACAAAGATACGTAGGCTTTGAAATTGCGTTCCGATTTTCCTCTGAGATCTCTTACTAACCATTGTGAGTTGAAAGCGTCCTGAGGCGGCATGCCGTACCGCATGATAGCATTGAGAAACGACTTTCTTTGCCTAGCGTTAAAGCCGAGAACTTCCATATTGCCACCGACTCTGGCAAGTAGAGGAGGCAAAGGCCTGTCACGCTCTTCGCGTCTCTCGAGGCGTCTTTTGCTCCGACGACTGAGTAGGTCGCCGTTGTCATTCTTCTCATCGAAATCGTCATCTTCCTTATCATCCTCACTGCCCTGTGAGAAATCGGAGTTGAAATCGGATCCATTGTCTTGCCACGTGGAGTCCTCTCTGTTTTCCGTTTGGGCCACACTACCATCGTTATAGTTAACCTGTTTACGGACACGTTTGCCTTTGCCAAGAGTTCTAGCCTGGTCTTCTTGATGTTGCTCATAATGATGCCTGAGAAGTTTTATCCAGTAAGCCGGGTCAGTATTTTCTGCTTCCTGTTTGATAATTTCAGTGTCAACTTCTTCTTCATTATCCCCTTCTTTAGTAGAATAGCTCGCCACTTTGAAAGAGCTAAGGTACTCGTTTGCCCAAGATTCTTTCTGTTCAATACCTTCCTTCGAGCGATCTAACAACTCGCCAACCGCTTTGTCGTCATAGTGAATGGCTTCTTCTTTACCCTCTTCTTCTTTAAATAATTCTTCTGTACCAAATCTCAAAATATCGTCTAATTCTTGCTTTGTGAAATTAGCACCCTTGCCACCCATGCCGGGGCGTACGACCAAGTGCGTAAGCATCATCTTTCTTTTCGCTACTTGTGTTACTCTTTCTTCCACACTGTTACGAGTGACAAAACGGTAGATCATGACTTTGTTGGCCTGACCGATACGATGAGCACGCGAGAAGGCTTGGATATCATTGTGGGGATTCCAGTCAGAATCGTAAATTATGACAGTATCAGCTGTGGCCAAGTTAATACCAAGACCACCAGCTCTGGTTGATAGTAAGAATACGAACTGCGGTGCGCCAGGAGCATTGAATCTGTCGATAGCTTCTTGACGGATTGTACCAGTAATTCCACCGTCAATTCTCTCATATTTGTAGCCCTCGCCTTCAAGAAAATCTTCAAGGATATCCAACATTTTCGTCATCTGTGAGAAGATGAGCACTCTGTGACCTTGTTCCTTGAGTAGTTTCAACATTTTAGACAATAACACTAATTTTCCTGCAGCTTTAATTAGAGCCTGAGTGTCGTAGTTGCCGTGAGGACCTAAAGGAGCCTCCTCGGCCGCTACAGGGAAAAGATAAGGATGGTTGCAGCATTTTTTTAAGTCCATCATTACGTTTAGCAGAGAAACTGTTTGTCCACCGCTTTTTGGATTCAAAGCCTCGTAGTTCCTAGTCAGAATGTATTTATAGTATTTCTTCTGCATTGGAGACAACTCAACGCGAACAATAAATTCTGATTTCGTCGGCATATTCTTGAGCACATCAGCTTTAAGACGCCGCAACATGTGTGGTCCCAACATTTCGTGAAGCCTCTTGACCTGTTCTTCCTTAGAAACGTCAGCAAATTCATTTTGGAATGCCGCTAGATCGTTGAATTTGTCCTTGTTTAAGAAATTCAACAAATGGAACAATTCCTCGAGGTTATTTTGCAGGGGTGTACCAGTCAGTAGTAACTTGTAGTTAATATGATAACCAGCCAAAAGTCTGAAGAACTTTGATTGATTACTCTTCAATCTGTGAGCTTCATCGACGACCAAGACTGACCACTCGATGGAGCCGAGACAAGTAGAATCTATAGATATCAACTCGTAAGATGTGAGAAGCACGTTGAACTTAACTTGAGACTTAATCTTGGAGGGTCTGCCGCCTCTATTTGCGCCATCATCAAACGTCAGCTCGTTTTCTCTGATAATTGCACGAGAATCTTTGTCACCGACATAAGTGATGCAATACAAATCGGGGGCCCACAACTCGAACTCTCTTTCCCAATTGATGATAGTAGACAAAGGCACGGAAACGAGAAATGGTCCTTTGCAGTGCCCCTCTTTGAAGAGGGAGTACAAGAATGTGACTGTTTGGATGGTTTTTCCGAGACCCATCTCGTCGGCCAATATGGTGTCAATACCCTGGCCCCAAGAATAGCGGAGCCAGTTAAGACCCTCGAGTTGATAGGGGTGTAGCTGCATTCCAGTCTCATATACAAAGGCAGGCTGATCTTCGTATTTCTTATTTAGATTGGTGGTTGGGCGGTCTGGTGGAGGGTTATAGCGCCTGGGTTTCGTGGACAAACCGCTGCTGCTTTCGTCCTCATCGATGTTTTCCCTATTCTTACTTTTGCGACCTGGTTTCTTTCCTTTGCTTTTAGTCTTGCCTTCAGATGTTATGAATGCGCGCATATCCTGAAAAATAATAAAATTACGTTTAATTATACGAGAGAAACACCTTCAACATGAGAGTATAAGTTGATAATTTAAGGAAATAAAATCTAAATATAATACCTGATAGTAATCTACTGCTTGTTTAAGGCCAGCGATGTCTGCATGCTCGGACTCCCATGTGGCCTGATCGTAAGATAGATCTCTCCATTTTACCAAGTAATAAGTGGTGCCGTCCCGAGATGTGCGATGGTTTATCACGCGGTGCACAATGAGCCACTCTGGTTTAACTCCGTATCTGAAAAATTGAAAAATAAGACAAGAATTAAAAAGAGAGTAAAGAATTCTTATTGTGCATTATACACTAAAATAAACAAAGCCAATATTTATTTCTAGTTGTTATGACAGGTCAGAATGACATTGAAGAAACTTACTTAATATACATAAATAAATTTGCTTTTGTAGCTAAGGACTCGTACCTGTAAAATTGCTCTTCTAGCACTTTCTCATCCGTGTCGTCATCTTTGGCTTTATCTTTCTGTAAGCGTTTATAGCGGCCGTCGCGTTCATCCAACGGTTCTTCCAACTTCGGCGGTTCTTCGGGGTCGGACTTACGCATATAGTAGCGGTACATAAGAGGGTGGAACACGTCCAACTGTAATGAGATAAATACTGTCAACTTGTATGGACGTAATATGTATTTGAAAAATGTATAGGGTAGCCTAGTTACCGTAAACTATAGGCTACCCTATAAATTTTTGACCGTGCGCTCAAAAAATGTGTCGAATGTTTGCATTATAAATAGAGGTAAATTAGTTATTTAAAATTTCGCAATAATAATAATATCTAACCTGTAACTCAGAGATCCAGCTACAATGCCAATAGGACTTCTCGTGCCACTTGACGAAGAATTCTCTCGCTCGTGGCGCCTTCGACTTTGCCGGCTGCTCCTTCCACCGCCATGTCAGGATCTTTCCCACTTTGCCTTCTAGAGGTTGGCACTAACAAATAACATGATATCTGAATTTTAAGCTCTATTCACACAAATTAGCATATCACGATTATCAATCGATTAGCGAACATGATCTCGAGTAATTGATATTCCTGTTGAAAGCAGTTTTGTTAACTAGGCGATAATTGTCTTGCCGAGACGAAATTATGTGAATTGAGGTTTTTAGGGTCAAACATACTGACTCCGAAATTTGGACTTATGGATCAGTCATTTTTATAAAAAATAAAGCAGTTTCAGATTACTTTGTATTCCATTTAAAACACTCACGCTACATCGAGGACAACGCCATTCGCCGTCGGGGACTTCATCCAGGGGCGGATTGAGGCAATGGCGATGGTACGCCGACGGACACGAGTCGCAGCACAGCAGCTCGCCGCCATCTTTGCAGATTCTAAACAAATATTATACATTTATTTTTTGGGGTTATCTTGTGATCAATCAATACACTATAAGTATATGGATTAAGTGTCAATTAGCGTGAGAAATAAATTTTAAGTTGTCCTCTATGAGGCGCACAATTAAATGGTAACAGATAGTATCAAGCTAGTTTCCAAGTCGGATAGACAGTCAATTCGCATCACGTTTATTAGTTTTATTAGTTTATGATATTTCTTGTTTATCATTACCATGCTTCCCATTACAACGAGTCTGGTTACAGATTAGTAGTAACTTGTAACAAAAGATCAGAAAGGAGATTTATATTTCATAAAAAGAACATCAACATTTGTTTCTTTTTTGTCAAATTGAATGTGTAATCTGACCTGCAGAACTCCTGGTGCTCATCCTCATCCTCTTGGTCCTGGTTCCCTTCGGCCTCACAGTGGGGGCAGGACCAACGGCCCTCGGGGGTCTCCTCCAGCTCGGGCTCCAGGCACACGAGATGGTAGGCGCGTGGGCAAGTGTCACACAGAATTATCTCTCCGCCTTGCTGGCACACCTGATCATACAAATCCGAGGTCATGACTAAAGAAAAGATGGAGGCAAATAAAGATGTTAACAAGTGTACCCACTCGGTCCCATACTAACAGGAGTTTGTATCAATGGAAGAATCATCCCCTTAAGTAAAAGCTCAATTAAGATAATACGATGTACTTCGGAATCGCAGGTTATGTAGTCGATATTCTAGATGCACATATTCATAATTCCATTTATATTATGTTATTTTATTTCCTATGCTACTTGGTTCTAATTGGACATAGTTATGCAAACAAGACCCAACTCACACCTCGAGTGAAATTAAAAGTCCTTCAGGGTACCAACCCTAAATAAGTAACTTTTTAATAGCTAAAAAGAACCATGCTGCTTAACTTCATATAATGTATTTTTTTAAATATGCTAAATGGATCCACATCACATGTACTGAAGTATTGTAGATCTTTAGTGTTTTCATCACGAAAACTAGAACATGGTTCTCATTAACTAAATAAAAAAATACATAATGTTTTCTATTTATTGCTATATAATATAAGTTTCCCTATATCATTCTCAATGCTACACATAACTCACGTTCTTTGTTTCAAATAACGTACCTATTTATTTCTTCACACTGTTTTTACAAAAATCTAATTATCTCGAAAGTGACATTTTGTGGATTGGTTCTAGTTTGTCCAATTAAGACTCGAACTCGAGTTGCGGACACTAGCCCGTTACACCAAGTACCAAATACCAAGACTCGAACTTATTCAATTTGTCCAGAAACTGCGATATGACATTTGCAGTCTACCGTACAATTATGATAAATAAAAAAAGATTACTTACCTCACAATAATCCTGATGTTCCTGTTCCCCTTCAGCTCCGTCAGGGAACTTACTGGTAGTCTTGAGCTTCTTCTTTTTCTTGCTTTTATTTCCGATCTTGGTCTTAGCTTTCTTTTTAGGCTGTGGCGGCGCGTTGGGGTCGTCCTCTTTTGGCTGCAAAGCGGGCTCGTCAGTCGCCGCTGCTGCTGTGGTGGCTTTAGGCTCATCCGCTTCTGCTAACATTTGCTCAAACTCCGCATCCGAGTCTGTGTTCGCACCGGCGCTAAATTCTTCCTGTAATTTAAGTTTGTACTCTGTTACTACATTTTTTTATAATAAATTGTCGTTTTATGTAGCTGTTTAATAGCTTTGAATACTCTATTCATAATTTTACAACACGGGGACACTACGCAAAACTCCCAGCTCAGGAATAATTTAAAATTCCTTTTCTAAGAGCGTTTCTTCCACTACTCTGTATAAACACCTTAATATAGAGGTATATAACAATATACCTCTATATTAAGGTGTTTATTTTCAAGTAAATTAAGCGTATTTATTACTATTTCTTTTAATTATTGCAAAGTATTATTTCCGATGGAATTAAATCATTTCAAAATACTCATCAGACATGAATCGAATTATTTTTAACATCGACACAATATCTCGTAGCAGAGGGAAAATGTCCTTAATGGACTTTCTCAGGAAAGTTTCAGTACCCTACAAAATGGAGGAGGTGGTTTGAAATCGATAAAAACTAACACTCACACTGCTAGTGCGTTTTCTCTTGCTGAACTTGATCTTGAGCGTGGGCACCTTAGGTTTCCGACCTGGTTTGCCTCGCGGCGCGGTTCCGTGTTTGGCCTTGCGTCCTCGTTTACGCGGCGCCGGCGTGTCTTCATCACTTGGTTCTTCGTCTTCCTCCTCCTCCTCCTGTTCTTCTACAACTTCGTCGTTCTGTGGATGTAAATTTAATTATTATTTGTCTAACCTTAACCGGCTGAGTAGAGCGACATCACACATATATATAGTTCATATTGGTTCTTAAATTTGTTTAATAAATAATATACACAATATTACAAATGTATATTAAAAACAAAGTGACAAGTTTTAGAATTCTTTATGACCAAAAGTTGTATAACAATGTATTGACTTTGTAGTGTTTACTTTTTGATGTGGACGTAAAACTATAACGCGAGTTTCTAAAAAAAAATTATGGCGGAAACAAGCCGAAAGCTATTCAAATCTTCTAAAAAAAGGCGTCAGTTTTGGTGGACCCATTGTTTGCTAGAACGGCAAATCACCGTCCAGATATTATAAATTCCTATACATCAGAGTCGACTTCGTATCCTAAAAAAATACCTTAGGTTCTTTAGGCGGGCGACCCGGTCTAGCCTTTGGCGTATAGTCCGAAGTGGTGGAGGTGTTGGTATTCTCCTCTGAGCCCATCTGGTTGCCCCCACTCAGATGTGGGTTGGTCTCGCAGAATAAGCGCCATTTTGCCGCCACTAGCATCATTAGTTTTGACACTGGCACCTGTAATAAACATTATTGCCTTTTCAATCTAAAACTGAGGCATTGGCTTAGGTAACTTTAAGTATATAGTCGGGAAGATGTCAGTAAGATAATTTTGAAACAAAAAGTTAGGTTGTGCTATACTATACTATACTGCCTGTGAAAAAAGACCAGGCAGTATAGTTGTACAATCTGTGCAAAACCACTGAAACAGAAACGAGCAAAAGAAGATGCAATATATAACAATCGTTTATAAGTATTTCATACACTATTAAAAATACTTACTTTGGGGTTTTCTTTAACAAGCAAAGGGCGAACATGCTGCTGGAACAGCTTGTAAGAAGTCAAATTTTCTAAGTCCGCATCAGAGTACTGTATATCCACATCTGTGAGACTGAATGAGGAGCATACTTCTTCCACTGTGGGCATTCCTGAAAAAAAGAGACATTTTGAAAACTCTAAATAACTACATACTAATAAGTTATTAGAGTAGATACTACCTCAGTAGCAATAGAGCTCCTTGTCAAAGAGTTCATCCAGAGAAGGACCTTACTTACGCATTACTGCGTTCCTGTTTTGAAGGATAAGGCTGATGAAATCACAGGCACATGGGACTTTTCAACTTATGTCTTACGGTGATGGGCGCACAGGCAGTGCACCTCAGATCTTTGCGATTCAAAGCTCTGAGTGACACTGCAACTGTTATGGACAGGCGTGTCGTTTATCGTCAGGCGCATCACTAAGTATCATAAAAAAAAGCTCGAATTCAAATTTTCCCCCTTCTGAATCGGTTCTATTGCGCGGCTCAACGGCAGGAACACTGCCTATAATCATTGACTTACAAATAGTCAATGCCTATAATTCAAAATTTATTTTTTTACAAACGAAATTAAAGCCATTTGAAAAAGGTATATCGTGTAATATACGTATATTCTATTTAGTTCACTTGATATAAATAGCATTGGTAGTAGTATAGTGGTAAAGTACCTACTGAATACAGAGATTTTTTTTTTCTATTGTGAAAGTTTTTAGGAATTTTCACGCCGCCCGTATACTAATCAATCCTCAGTTTTACTATATGTTTCTTCCAAGTGATTGACTCAACACCTTCACTGTTATGCGGAATCAATCAAAGCCATTTGAGGATGAATCGACTGCTTATATGTATTCAGTCAGAACTCTATTTAAAGACTATGACCCGTATTAACAAATAGAGATATATTACTTAGATCTCGAGATGAATCTCAAGCTCTCTTGTATTCATAGACTATAAATCTTGAATAACACCATCCAAAGTGACTAAAGCCCTGAATTTATTTGATAAAAACTTAACAACGAACTTTAAGTGCTTATTCATAAACATTAGTTTATTACTAAGCAGACGTTTGCCAACTCTCAAACGATGCGTGATCAATAAGTATCGTTAAATGCACATTAACTCAAGTTACATTTATTAAAAAACACAGTTGAAGTATGCTTTTAATATCAATTGTGTACTTGAGGTGATTTCTTTATAGTGACCGAGTTTTAAGCAATAGACTTTAAAAATACACTACATATTATTATACTTTTTATACAACTGTAAACTACGTGATGTTATAATATAATATAATACAATTTTTTAAGTACACATAACTATCATAAATACACAATATTAAACATATCAATAAATGAATATGTAATTAAACAGAATATAAAAAATAATCTCAACAAAAAGATTTGTAATAATAATAATAATAATAACGCACACCGTCAACATACCCCCACACTACGGAAAACTTGTGTCGCGAGTGCCATGGACACACACATAGACAACCACAAATTACACCCAAACTCACGAGAGAAATAAATGTAGGTCATATAAATATTTCTACCGCCTCGGGAATCGACTCTGGGGCATCTGCGTGACAGAGATAGTAACCGTTTGGCCACAGAGGCAGTTTTTTTTTTCATTGTAATGTGAATGTAACACTTATTTATAATATTACGATATAGAAGTGTGTCAAAACTACAAGCTTTCTATGTCATGCCCTACTTATTGTAATATACCGGGTGGAAATTTGTAATGCCACCTGGAGGGAAAGTACTCTAAATACTGGAGATAGACATTTTTACTTAAAGGAAACATTCCTTTCTTTTTTAAAAGAAATAAAACTCCATTCATCGATTTTCGAAAATTTGTAGCAACACGCGGGAATCGAACCCGCTTTAATCTGAAAAAAATGCACCCTGCACTTTTATTGCATCGATCGATAGGGTTAATTATAAGAATAAAATCTCTCTCACAAAATTGGTTAATTAAATGAAAAAACCATGAAATCTTAACGTATTTTAATAAACATAGATAATGTGCTTAGAAAGGATATGTAAAAAATGGTAAAAACAATCAAATGGAAATAACAAACGACAATCCATTTTCAAATGAAACATTCCATATTTAAATTACCTCATGCCACTGACCAAAGAGTCTGCATTACAAACATGTGCAAATTGCAATCTTCTTATCTAAATGGTACTTCGTCATTTTAATGAATAAATGACGTCAACGATAATTAACAGTAATCTGATGGACCTTTGAGTAAAAGTGCTTTAAATTGACCCATTGAATTTATAACTCCAGATTTCATGGTTTGTAAGAGAGATTTCATCCTCATAATTGACCCTATCGATTGATTTAATAAAAGTACAGGGTGCATTTTTTAAAGATTTTAGCGGGTTCGATTCCCGCGTGTGGCTAGCAATTTGCGAAAATCTTTGAAAGCAGTATTATTTCTTTTTAAAAATAAAGGAATATTTCCTTTAAGTAAAAATTTCTATCTCCAGTATTTAACATACTTTCCTTCCAAGTGGCATTACAAATTTCCACCCTGTATATTGTTATATAGTATAATACACACTGTAACATCTATTGTACTTATGGAGAGCAATACAATGATTGAATATTGAGTATACGGGCCTAAGTCATGTACGACCGGAGAAGTCAAGAATAGTCAAGAACACCTTTTTTGTTCTGTGAATTTTATTTCGCATGCGTATTTATTGCGTTTTGTCTGAGGTATTCGCACTTAGAGCCCGGGTCCAGATACCACAAAAGACAATTGAAGATTCTAAGAAAACCTTTGATACAGGGGTTGGAACAAATAGGCTTGCACCATTGGGTAGAAAAAAAGGCCGTAATTATTGTTTGTTGGGACTGTTTGAGGGCTTCCACAATCAATATCACTGCAACTGCTCCATTATCGTTATCCATTCTGATCATAAAACATGACAGCTCAGAGTTAACCGCGAGCCGTTATTGTTATAATCGTAGTTACAGGGTTAATCACTCTCTATCTGAATGAAACTGTAAATAATTATTTTTCCTTCAAAAATATTGATTAAATAGATCACTAGGAGGGAATTACTTTTGCTTATTAGAAGCTAGAAAATGCTGGAGACGATATATTGTGCACTTTGTGTTTGCTGAACAAAACGTTAGACATGTGCTTGCCAACCACTACTCTGATAGAAAATTATTTCTATGTATCGCTACTACGCTTAATAACATTAAACAATCAAAGTTTTTTTATTTTAAAAAACACTAACATGCCAATGAACACCGCTGAACGTGACAAGACATGCTTAACCTAATGGTGAAACTGTCAGACGACTTGTTGCAAGTCTCCCGAAGAGTTTTATTCTCGTATCAATTGCCCTCGTGCTCAATGAAGGAGACATAACTGAGCGCTAAGAAAACATTTTTAAAGACAGCATGTGAGTAAAATTACGATCGGTGGTTGGAGCGTGTTTTGAATGCAAACGTCTCGTCAATTTCGATGATTTCGAAAATTCGTAAATGTGGCAGGCATAAGTACCACCTGAGACCCGTTTATCGGGCGATAGAAAAAAGTAATAGTAGAACATTTTCATCCATACATTTTTGGTATTTTCTACGTTCTATTAGTGGACGACATCGTGTCGATATTCAGTTATTTCAATCAAAACAAACGTGACAAATCTTGATGATGTAAGTGCACAAAAGTGGTCTTTATCGATTATTTGACGAATCGGCGGCCCAGTGGTTTGCACTGTGTAGTAGGACCATTATGGGATATGAACTTTCTAAATTGGTTCTGGTTTGGGTGCTATAGGTAGTGTCCCGGAGTAAATAGAGTTTATATAAAAATTAATAATAGTAGAATAGTTACTTTAGTGTATACAATTTAGTTGTAGTAGAGCTCCTTGTGAAAGAGTTCGTCCAGGGAAGTATTGCTATCTATTTCTGCCGCCAAGCAGTAATGTTCACATTACTGCGTTTCGTTTTTGAAGGGAAAGGGTGCTGGTGAAATTACAGGCACATAGGACTTGTCTTATGTCTCAGGGTGACGGGCGCAGTGGCAGTCTCTCGATCAGAAATCTTTCGACCTCCTCCTAGCACCTCCATTTAATTTTTATTAACTATTGCCGCCGAAATCAAGAACTGCTTAAACAATATGAAGACCTCCGTGGTCGAGTGGCTTACACACCGGTTTTCATGATGTCGCCATCTCAGATACCGGATTCGATGCCCGGCCGGGTCAATGTAGAAAATTTTTCTATATTGTCTCGTTGTGATACCGTCGTTGTTTCTGATTTCCATAACACAAGTGCTTTAGTTACTTACTTTGGGATCCGAGCAAATGATGTTGTTAGACAACATCATTTACGTTAATTTTTTCAACATTAGATGGTGAAAAAATTTAATTTATAATTGAAAAAAAAAAATTATATTAAAAAAAAATTTAATATGAGATTTTGGGGACATTTTCTGCAGAAATTGAGGAGCTGAGGAGGTTGTGTCCGAAGTCTAAAAATTGTCGCAGCCGACGGGAATTTGTCCTCAGAACCACGGTACGTTACTAAACACTGCATTTATATATCAATGACGGTACAAAGCTAACATGAGCTTGTATGAATAAATGTCACGTTGAAAATAACGACACGTGTAGCTCATAACACTATAAATTTACATAAGTACTGTAGAGATCGCATCCGTTTACATATTATTGCGCTCATGGCAGCAATCGCATGTCTATTGTACAGATTTAAATACAATTAACATTTGTCTGAGCTAACATTTTTTAAGCGCATTCACCTTAATGACATATAAGAAGTATAATGCAAGATAAGCTAGATTTATTAATAACGTACAATCATCTACACCAAAAGTTCCCAAACTTTTTTGTCTCGTTGGCCACATGCACATTCTTTGCTTAGACAGCCAAACTTTCTAATATGGATTTTTAGCTAACGCAGTGCCACTCACTTTGATAAGTTTAACTATAAAGTGTAAGACACCTTATAAAAAGAAACACATGTTAAGTTTTATACATTGAACTGTAATTGCTCCACATGTTGTTTCTTGTGAAATGTTTACATGATATGTCTATTATAAGAAAGTATTATGTAAGTAATGTGGATTATTCTAATATTAATGGAAATCCCAAAATTTTGGTCACAACCTGAGAGACGATAAAGCCCACTTTGAGAAACATCGATCTGTAACCACGTAATGCAGAACGACAGTGTAGTGTTCAAATAATTTCTTTTCACTTCGTAACTAGGTGGTCTCTTTTACTGTAACCTTTCTTCAATGTTATTAAATTTATATATACTACACTATAGCATACTACATAATAATGACAACCTCGGTAGCCCACCGGTTTGCACTATGGACGCTGGATGAGGACGTACCGGGTTCGATTCCCGGTAGGACCAATTTTGGAAATGAACTTTCTTCGGTTCTTGTCTGGAAAGTGGCCCAAAGTGAATTCCGTTACTTTGGTACTCATAGTACGGACAACGGCACATCAGACTACACGTTTTTGCTCGAAAATCGCCTCCAGTGCAACGGAACAAGATACGTCAATGCTTGATATGCTGGCGTGTGATGGAATCCGTAGTTTGTCATTACTATGTGTCGGAGGGTCGCAGTGATAAACCCTAAATGACGCTACCGTAATGTTAATACTATGTAACCTGTAGTATCGAGTAATATTTACAACAAAATTCTAAATTTGGTTTTGCTATAAAATTTGAAAAAATATTGTCGACATACAAAATTTTCCGTATAAACACTTGTTTTATTCGTAAACTCTGTCGAATAACAGGAAACAATTATAAAAAGGCACACTACTATACGCCAAATAAATACGATATTAGTGTTGTAAACCAACAGTCATACTACCAATAGCCTATGGATTGTTTCGAAACCTTAAAGTCTAGTAGCAATACTGATAGAGCTGTCAATAGCAAACAATAATAATTATAGTCGATATCATTGGCTAATACTTTTAATTGTTGCCGATAGCGTGGATGCTATTGGATTACTATCCATATTATATAATAGTCCTATTGGTGTTGTTTGTTACAAGTCTTGAAGTTCAACTATCCACAGATTTTCAACACTGCACATTATTATACAATCAGATCGATCTTACAGCACTTACATCACAATATATCTAAGAAAAACATAAAGAATTGGTACTTTTACCAAGTTCACCTCATATCGCATGATTTCTATGGTAGTCAAAAGCAATTAATAATCACTGCATATTTGAAAGTTACAATTTAAAAGCAACGTCGTTAAATATCTGCTCTAGTTTTTCGAATAAAATATCCATTTGCGAATCGTGCACATGGTTACCTACAAATTCACATCATGAAGTTTCTACGTCACGAAAGCTGCTTTCGCCGTGTACTGAACTAGCGCAAGGTCATTGCCCCCACGACCTTCGTGTGCGTCGATGGTGACTCTAGTACATACAACACCTTGCTATTTGCTATAATTCATGTTCATAGAACAATGACAAAATTAATGCTTCAATTTTTTTTTAAACGAAAGGCCGAAATCGCTTTTGTTTTTATGATAATCCTTAAAAAAAAACAAAATAGAGCCACGATTAAATTGAGCTTCATATAACAAATAGAAAATAAAGGATCTTAGTTTAAGCTACAAAATAATAATTTATAGAGTTATTTGTTTCTTACCAGATCCAGAATCGGAAGCCGTGAACGCCGCGGGTGCGGTGTGTTTGCTCCCACGTCCTTTGCGGGATTTCTTAGAGGAGGACATAGCGCTGAGAGCGTAATCGCTATCGCCCTCCGCCTCCATCTCAACTCCAAAGTCTTCATCCTAGACAAAATAAAAATAACATACAAAGCCATGTTTTTTTAAAATAATATCAAGTGACGGGACGAACAAGTCGTGCGCCTGACGGTAAGCTACACGCCTGTCCTTAAAAGTTGCAGTGCCACTCAGACCTTTAAATCGCATAGATCTGAGCGACAATGTCACTGAGCCAGTCAGCCCCAGACACAAGCTGACAAGTCCCAGGTGCCTGTAATTTCACCGGCACCCATAGAGCTCCCTCGGGAAGTACTGCCACCTTTCCTGTTTCTGCCACCAAACAGTAATGTGAGCATTACTGCGATCCAATTTTGAAGGGTAAAGCCGTAAATTCGGAACGTTGTGACGTTCAATAGGTCGTTCAAACATCCAACACAAGACATAATGTACGCGCAAGTCTTGAATGCTCCGCTGTTCGCGCCGCCGTTCCGAATTTGCGGCCTAAGGGTACTGGTAAAATTACAGGCACAATGGACTTGTCAACTAATGTCTCAGGGTGACAGGCGCAATGGCAGCGCCTCTCAGATCTTTGCGTTTTAAATCTCTGTGCAGCACTGCAGTTGCCAGTTACCAGTTGCCAGTTAGTTAGTAGTTGCCAGTTGGCGTGTGTGTGGTACATTGACTTGCTAGTCCCGTCACTTGATCTCATAAAAAAAAATTAAACAATATTGAGGCTATTTAAAATATTATGTTTAAGGTATAAAATAATTCCCCCAGATTGTCTAAACGTAAAAGATGTATGCAGCAATGTGACAAGAATTTAACAATAAAACCAACACCACCAAAACGTTAGTGTAATGGTTATTCCAAAGAGCAATGCAATTTCAGTGTATAATTTTTAATTACAAAATATATTTTTACAATTTTATTATACATAATGCATAAGAGACGTAGTTGTGCACTATATATAAAAATATTTCTTTATTTATTTGTTTATACATAAACATTTTTTTTTATTCAATGTGAATTTGTAAAGGTAAAGTGGTCACAATCAGGGCTAGTTGCCAAGTATGGACTTATCTCTAAAAGTTACAACCTTTATTATTGTTATTCTTCATTTAACATCCATTCCTTTGTGCTAAGATAGTAAATCATTATTATTGATAATTCCTATTAAAATTTCAGTATGAATTAGGGATTCCTGTATTTGCAAGTGATATTTCTGTTCGGTGAGTGGTAAAGACAGGTATGTAATATTGATTTGGACGCAAATACATAAACAAGAGTGATAAAATGAACTAAGTGTTTATACCATTTTCATTTAAGCCTTTTTATGTGTACATAATGTAATGGTAATCAGAAAATAAACAATACATAATAAATCCTATTTTATTGTTACAAAAATTTGTATTTCAACCTTCAACATTTTAGACATTTAAATACCAAATGTTTAGTTAAAGGGCCATTTAATTGATTTTTTTGAAGACACCAAGTGACGGGACGAGCAAGTCGTGCGCCTGGTGGTAAGCGACACGCCTGTTAGTAGGCGACACGCTTGTTCATAGCAGATGCAGTGCCATTCAAAGTTTTAAATCGCAAAAACAACCTTAAACATAAGTTGAGCAGTCCCAGTATATCACGTAAAAGATTGACAAATTTGTTTTTAGGTTGATCACCAAGCTTGATTCTGAGATGTGATGATAGTATTTTATACAAAATAAAATTTCAGTATAAACACTATGCTGCTGATATGTGGAGTTCAACACTTAACATGTGTAAGCTTTAACTCATACAAGTGAGTGTGGGTCATGGAAAAATTTATATTTTGAAAAAAATCATATTTATCTGGATATTTTTTCTTTAATATTCCACATTTAACTTTGATACCAGACGAAAGTTGAAGTTACTGAACGAAAACGACAGAGCTAACAACAAGTGGTGGTGCTATGGTTGTTATTGGCTTTTTTTCACTGTTGTGAAATCACATTAAATCTCGTTTTTCTTTAAGTGGCATTTAGCTATACAACTTTATTTTATAATTCACGCTATATAAAACTTCAAAAGATATTTCCAAATGTAGAACACAGTAAGAGCAGAAGAGCCTTCTAAATTATATTTTTCCAATTATTCCAATTTTTCAGTAATCCTTCTGGAAAAATTTCCACTATTTGAAATTTTTCGGAAAATTACCCTAATAATAACAGATATATGTATATACATATAACAGATATAAATACATGTACCCACATTCCAATTCATTTTTCAATTTCATTCGAATGTTGCTTAGTTTGATTTCTAATATTAAAATATAAAAATGAAAGGTAACTCTGCTCCAAAGACTCCAAGTTTATGAGTTCTTACATGGCCTGAACCTGCTGTAGAGACCTTATGCAAATAATAAATCTTCGAATTTAGCAAATAAATATTAATTCTGTTTTTTGCAATGTTACAACAATTACTCTGTGTCTCCTTTATAAAATCACAATTAATTATTATTGCAAGAAAATTTTCTACATTTTCTAAGTCAACATGCAGTTATGACAGATTTCTCGAAGTTTAACAAATTGTAACTGGAAGTGTTATCAGATATCTGATAAAGAATGATAAGAGGCCCATGACACAAATACATTGTAGCATTGTGTAATCTTGTAATGTAAAATCGAAATTTATAGCTTATTAAAAAACTACTTTGATTTGATCAACAATGGCACAGATATATAAATTTCAATACTGTTTCAGGCAGTGTTGAATACACACGTTGAGTAAGAATTAAAATTGACCATCTTCACATAACAATATAAATTGTTTTTAAGTTAACTCTCGTTACTTTAATTAAGTAGCAGCACTAGACCTAAGAAATTTATTTCAAAAATATGTCTTAGAACTTTATGTCAAAAATTCAATTTTTTTTTTAACTTGTTCATTATAAATTTCAATAAAAACTTACTTCTTCACTCTCATTCCTCCGCTTCTTCTTTTTCTTTCTGCCTTTCTTGTCTTCTCCACGTGCCTTTCTTTTCTTGCCTTTCTTCTTTTTTCTACTGTCTTCTGGTGAATAGTCATCATCCTCCTACATTAAGCAAATTAGAATAATAAGTTTAAATAATTAGAAGCTTATCCTGCAGAAAAATATTTAGTCTGAGTAAATCTTATATACACCAACAATATTGAGTACATAGTGCATATTTACATATATATAACTTTGCATAGATGTAGATATTTTGCATAGTAATAATTTTTGCTAGTCTCAGCACAACAGAAACAAATTATGTATCTCTATGTAGGAAACCTGGAACATGTTGAAATAATTCATATATACTTAAATGACAAATGTAATAAGCCACAAACATATTTAATAATTCATATGTACCTAAATGGCATATCTGGTGGAACCTGGACCTATAGTTGTAATTGTAACTTGAGAATACAATGTGATGGCATTCATGTTACCATCTGTAACATAGCTTGTGTTACTAATTTCAAAGGCCAATGTTTATAAACAGAATACAGTCTGGTTATGCACTCACAAAAAGCTAGAAAAGTTGTAGAAATTTTAATTTTGAAAATTGTTTACATACTGATTACGTAGTATCCCCATACTTGATTGATTATTTGAACTAAGATTAGTTATTTGGCTGATAATTAAAAGTACTTAGTAGAGAATTGTAATGAACAACACTGAGTGGCAGGGAATAACTTAAATATAAATGGAAATGTATATTGCCCCTTTACCTTTGGTGGAGCCTCATCACTTTCTCCAGAGTTCTCGTTGTGACCCTCACCTTCCTCCACGTCCTCGTCCCCTGCAAACATTCAACAAACTGGTCAGACCAGTCGGCCACGCCGGCCACTTGCACTCACCACCTTTAAGGACCACCTTTCCACTGAAACATCACCCACCCCTCACACTAAGGTCACTAATCCCTTTGTTTGGCGGCGTCCATTTTGTTAAGTAATGAGGGAAGATTGCATGTTCTTTTCTGTCACTAACTGCCACTTAAAAATATTTACAACCAAACACAAACAAATACACTTCAAATTCACTTTTTAGCACTTCAACTAAACCAGTAATGAGTTAATTGTCACACTTACCACTGTGCACATCTTTTCAAAAGCCGAAAATTTCTGAATTTTTAATTGCTTTTACCGCAAGTAAACACATGATACCGCTATTCGCGGCTTACCTATGACATGCTAGCTAAACTCAACCTTTACCTGCGAAAGAGCCGTCTACTTCTTCGTCTGAAGCCATTTGATTCACTTTATATTACAATCAGCAACGAGATGAAAGATTTTTGGCCTAGAAAAGATAAAGGACGCGCAGTTTTTTGCGACAAATGGTAATTAATTCAGAAATTGATGCCGCCGTCACTACGCAAGAACTAAATTTCTTCTCTCACTCGCACACACGCGTCAAGAAAGCATGGTAGAAAATTTCTGGGTGGCTACTAAGTTATTTGAAATTACTAAGAGTTGTTTTTCTGAATTTCACTCCAAGGAATCTATTGACGTAGAAAAATTGTACGAAAATCCCAAGTCTAAACTTACGGGAATACATTTATTGTAAAATTTACTTACAGTCTTCCATTTATTGTGCCAAAGAGAATTATTAGAAATGTTTAACGAAAATGGTAACATGTACATACAGTTTACCAACCTTACAAATTACAAAGACAGGATTGCCATTTTCAAGAGTGACAACAAGTCAAACAAAAACAAAATTTTCATAGTCTGTGTCGTGGATTGGCTGTTTCATGTAGATTAAAGGAGTGGTTTTTTATTTTTTTCATATTAGCCTTAGGGTCGTATTCCAGAACTCTACTCAATGCTCAAGTCAGAATTGCACTGGAAACACAAGCACTGGAAATACGACCCTAATGGCAGGGACTTGAGTATGATTTCGAGTGCTTTAAACCATACTCAAATCCTGACTTGAGCATTGAGTAGAGTTCTAGAATACGACCCTATAATTCTAAGCAGTGTTGCCAGATGAATGAAGAATTGTAACAATTCTTCATTTTTCGTAACTCTCACTTTTCATGTATGTAAATGTTAGGCGTCCGCTAACTAAAACGCGGCTAAGTGACAAAATATTTTTTTGAGATATCATAAAAAGCCATAACACTGTTTTAGAATATTGAAATTGTTTAATGATATTTCAGCTATGCATCGTTAGGATAAGTTCCAATAAGTCGAACACGTTAACTAAGTTTAACTGTTTTTAAAAGAGAATTTTGTGCTCTATTATTTGCTATTTAAAATGGTTATTTGACCATATGTCATTTAGCCGCGTTTTAGTTAGTAGATGACACTTACCTGAACTATAGGAACCTGTTGAAATGTTATGTACCTGTTAAGTATTTTCAATAAAAAATCAAACAGCTGAAATTTTTCCCGGAAAATTTCTGGAAAACTCGAAAAATGTAATAAAAAAAAAATTAATTGTGTTTTACGTTTAGATACACCTTTTGAAATTTTATTTAGGGTGAATTATTATAAACAATGGTCGGAAAAAGGTGTTCCACGTATATAGATACGTACAAACATAACTACAAGGAGCAACATAGAGTCGTTAAAATAAGTAAATGTTATTTAATTACTGTTTCGAATTCCGGATTTCCGGAAATGGTCTTTTTACTAACTAATTATTAATACTTGGTGGATTTAACGACTCTATGTTGTTCCTTATAGCTGTATCTATACATATACCTACATTATGTGGAACGCCTTTTTCCGACCTTTGATTATAAAATAAAATTTTATAGCTAAAATTATACGAATATAATTTACGAACGTTCCCAAATTAAGCAATCAGAGATGGCGCAATTAAAATGTAATCAATAAATTACTAGTTATAGCATGATTTTTCTTGAGCGTACATACTGCTTTGTTATGTTTATTTTATTATTATTTACTTTTGCAGTTAAAAAGTTCAATTAAAAAACGAACTTGTAAAATGCAATTTTTACAGAAAAAATTTAGCGTTCTAATTAACTAAATGTAATTTTCGACACAGAGGCCCTGGCAGCACTCACTGGTTCTTAATTAATGTTTTTGCTTTTTGCCCGATTACTTTAATCCATGGTCATGAAATAATTTAAAAAAAAATGAATGTTGCAATTTGTGGCACGCATGTCAATCAGAAAATTGTAAACAAAATTGATTTTCTCTTAAAAAATTAAGATTTTTCTGACAATTGTTGTTGGTGGTAAAGATGAATGCCTTGTTAGATTACGGTTCATCGTCTTCGAGCGATACTGATGAAGAAAATGCGGAGGAAAAGTAAGAGTTACACTAATACTCCGTTATATATCCACTTACCTAAATCTTTGTGTTATAAATGAAATTTCGGTCAATTTTAGGTCTTCAGAAGAAGCAGTGAAACCCAAATTTCCTAAACCAGCCATAGGAGAGAGCGCACTACAAACTTCGGTGTTTTGCAACCCATTCGTGGAAGCAGAACTTGCAAAAGCAGCGATTCTAGAAAAACACGTTAAAATGGTACATGTTGACTTTCTTCTCCCGTGAAGTGCGCTACGCAAACAGCCGCCTGACGTTGTAGTACTCCTTTTTCAAACCCTTCATTTTACCTAATATGTTTGAATTTGTTTCTTTTTGAGACTAGTATATTCCTCACGACTCTTTACCTTGCATGTATGCTATCAAGGCGTGCCATATATTTCAGCTTCTCAAGAACATCGTATTGTAATACTGAGGTAGGACTGAATATACAAAGAGCGGCATTATACAACCAATAATATTTCATTATTGACCAAGCTGCACGACAATAATAATATTAAAATAACAAATTGCTATAAGTTGCTAAAACAGCTCTCTTCTCCATAAATATTAAGCTCTAGCATTACAAACTGCCCAACATACTACGCAAGACGGTTTGATAGTGCTATTCTGTTGTGAGTCAGTACAATGTGTACTACTAAAATGTATTCCTTGTTTTAAATTACAGATAGAATCATAATATCCTCATTGTTAACAATAGGAAAGCTTTGTAACCAATTGGACATGCAATCGTCAAGTACATAGGCAATTACTGTAAGGTTCCAGGCAAAGACCACATGCAGATGATCAACGGAAAGAAGATATGCTGGAACTACCGCAAGGGGAAGTGCCGGTTTGGTCACAATTGCAAATATGCACATGATTCTGACATACAGAAGACTCCACAGGAGCTGGAAGCTGAGAAAGAGGTTCATAGTATTGAAATTTTGTTTTTGTCATATTGTTAAAGCATTTTGAACTTTCGCCTACATTGAGAAAGGCAAATTTACAATAACATTCATAGAGCCGTCTTGCATTGTCGAGATGGTCCAACTATGAAAACACCCATCTACCAATAGGTTTTATACAGTAACCTCATTGCTGCTTCTTGAAATAGGCTCTTTATTATTATATTATCTTTATATTTACAAATACAATGTTTCTTTTTACAGAAATTAAGACAGAAGACAGTAGTTTGTGAAAGCTCCGGCACACAGACATCCATCCCGCCCCCTCAAGTTACTTTGGAACCTACACTACCAACTGATGATAGCATCTGGGAAGGGGCACCAGACAAAAAGAAGAAAAGGCCAGGGTTGAGTACAAATCTTGTTCCAGGAAAGAAAGTACTGCAGATGTATAAAGAGCAAAGATATAGAGATAATGTTAAAAATAAAACTAAATAAGTATATTTGTTTGTTTCATTTAATTGTAACAGGAGCAATCGTAATAATAATAAAAACAGTTCTCAGTTGCAATTGTATAATGTGATGGATACCCATACTTAAAAGTTTAGCCCTTGTGTTTCTTATTTTGAGAAGTAAACTTCCTTTGGTGGGGAAGGGTTCAAATAAAAAATAATATAGCACTTGCATGTTTTATATATTAAAAAACAATGCAGAGAACAGACATGCAATTTCGATCTTCTCGCCAAGTTGCAAAATGCTTAGATATACATTTTTGAAATTGCATAATACTTAAGCAGTTAACTATCATATGACAGTAGGGCAAATTGGCAACTAGATGCAACATTGTAGCCAAACAATGGCGAACAGGGGCAATTTCCATAAATTACGCGCTTAATGAATATTTCAATTGATTGTGCAACTGGCTTCTTTTTCATGACATGTTTATTGCCAATGCTAAGCCCCAAGCTTGTTGTTAAATTATAATAGCACAGCCATTACAGACGCTACCATGGACACTTGCCAAAGCATAGCTATTAAGTATAGACCGTCTTTTTTATATGTAAATCCTCTTAGTAACATACTAAATTATACTAATGATGGCTTAAATACTTTTGGAAATTACTTTTATTTTTTAGAGTTGAGGATACACCTCTTAGCCCTAGTTTCCTTTGATAATAAGTAGACGTGGCGACATCAATTACTACACTAAACTTGAAAGTTTATCAATACAAACTTAGTACAAGCTACAAGGCAAAATGGGGGACCATATTTATCAACTTTGTACCCATGTTGACGTTCATCCACTACGGACCCTAAACATAATGTGAATCTACGTCGACGTTACAACATCAAGACATTCAAAGAGTTAAAATTCTAAAAATCATATTTTTTAAGACAAATTTTCAATTATTTAAAAGTTCATTATCTCTATTCAAGGATTCAATAAATATATTTCATTTTTTTAACACAATCAAGTCTATTAAGAAAATGCTATCGTGTTACGATAATAGAACCTAATTCATTACACTAAAGTCGAATCTACGATACAGCAACAATATTAATTACTTGATATTGCAATTTATTAAATACTATGACAGATGTGGAGGTGAAATACGTGTTAAATCACTAATATTAAACATATCCCCACATTCAAATATACAACATTACAGAAGGCACAAACAATAATTAAATAATCCCCTATAATTCATTTGTGAATTATTTACATTTTACCACAAAAATTGGTGTATAGTACACAGATGTGTTTATAATTATGTAAAATATTTAACACTCAAAGAATACTATAAAAATAGATTTCTTTTGGCAATTTATACATTAAAATATGGCATAGATAAAAATATGATACAGCGTTTACAAATAGCCTTCTCAGCAGATTCGCGATGATATATTGTATGATTTCATATTAAGTTCTCTCAACCTTAGAAGTAGTTTTACAAACAATTTCGTGTAAATTGAAACATTACAAAGTGGAATTTTATAAAATCGTAACTCTAGTTAAGTGGGTGTATATAAATATGTTTTAAATCTTAAGAGCGACCTTCTTGGGCATCTTTGGTGTTTCGAGATCCATACTATACCCCTTGATGGAACCGTTTGGCATCATGTCCGAGTCGGTGTGGAATACCCCGTTGCTCGCGTGTGCATTGACCTTCGCGGCGTGCCCGTTCATGTCGCCGTCGTAATCATTGTTCTCAATGCATCCATTCCCTTTCTCACCTCCATGGCCATTCATTTTAGCATGACCATTTACTTTGTCACCACCATGACCATTCAAAAACTTGGTCTGCCCTGATAAATCAAAGAAAATACGTTTAACCCCCAACAACACCTCAACTTAAAAATAGCGTAATTGTGTTAGTCGCTGACATAAACAATCTAAATAATTAGTGTCCATTATTAAATAACATTCTTGGTTCGTTAGTCCGTACTAGTGGATTCATCATTTGAAGTTGAAAACATAAGAGAGCCTGTACGTCCCAAGTAAACACCGTGTGAATCTGTAAAATTATTTGTTATTTTTAATATTCTGATGACGGGCCCGATAATAGCAAGCTACAGGTTTCACTAGACAGACGTAAGCTAAGAGTGCGTAACATTGACAGTGAATACTAAAAGGTCACACAACAAAACAGGTGTAAACAAACCAAAGTACGGACTAAAATAATGAAAACTACGCTAATAGGGTATCTAAATCTAATTCTATAAGTAACACAATTACGCCAGTGTTCACATATTAAAGTAGAAGAACAGCATGCAATCAACTAGATATATCGGAAACTTGGTTCTTGTACAACACAGTCCGATATACCTAGTAGTTAAGGCTTATGTATGATTCACACCTGACATTGACGTAGCGATGAGAAAATTTAAATGTGTATTTGATCATTATAGTTCAAACTTGCATGTGATATATTATATAAAGAAATTGTGAAGAATGCGCCTGACTGCCTCTGTGTCGCCATCCTTGAAGTTGATTTGATCGTGAGAGTTCCGATGTGCCCCATTTGCCGCACGCACTTGCCAGGATACTTACGCATGCGCGCGCATCCTTTTTGCTGCGCTTCGGCCCGCGCCGATACGCCCCGTCAGTTGTGAATACATACCGCACCTCCAGTGAAACTTACATTACAATTGATGAAACTTACATGACCTCCGGTGAAACTTATATGACTTACCTTATATTTGTAAAATGTACAGAAAACGAATTAAAAGTTGTTAAAAATTTACTGAGCACATTTGAGGAGATACTATTTCAATAAGCATTGCGTCCTCCATGGAAAAATGAAAGAATGCATAATGTGTTTCTGTGTTTCCATATAAATTGCAATATTAAAATGGTGTGGGATCACAATGTTTTGCGGTTAAGTCTTTGTTTCACTGAAGGTATTCGTGCTTGTTTTCACCATATTACGGTGATATTAATTTTAAATTTAAAAAATAATTCATTAGACCTCAATACCTGTCAACGGTCAAACATTGACGAGCTCTGTATAATGAAACTGGGAAGTCACAGGCTTACCATTAGTATCGGCGCCAGAATAATACTTCTTTGAAGTCTTCCAATCTTCTTTTAGAGACAGGTTATACATCGAGAATGCGGGATCTCCTGTCACTTCCTTAACGATTATCAAGAACTGGGGCAATGTTGCCAGTAACTGATCGTCGTCATACGCTGCACTGTATGTTTCCAGAAGCACCAACCCCCGGCATCTGTAATTTCAGAGCTGTATAAATACATAGACTTGATACATTAAAAAGAATAGACACAAATCATTACAACTACGTTCTATTTTCTAAGGTTTAAACAAAGCTTTATTTAAATTTACCTTGAAAAAGCTGAACTGTGTCTTCTATAAGGATATAAATAACAACAATACATACATTACGGTTTTATTAGTACTTATATATAAAACATAGATATAGATAGAAGAAATTAAATTTGAAACAAGTATCAATATAAATTACGAAAAGTCTAAACTAAAGAACTTAAATAATTATAAAGTACCTTTCGTTTTTATTTATTTCAAAGGGTGAAAAAAGTATGAATTAAAATGGCGACTCCACTCGTAAACATAAAAATATTTTAAAGTAAATAAATTTTGTTGAACCAAATCTGTGTCATAGGGAAGTCCATTCAAATTCCGTTATCCATTTATACCAAGTGTCTAAAATTTTTTTACGGTATAAGAAACTAAATACTTTAATGAAAGTTGAGAGAACATGAACGGACTTGCTGTTTGCGTCAAGGATAACCGCGAAAAACCAAAGGATAATGAACATTAAAACTATCACTTAAAAGTGCAATTTCAGTTTACAATATCTGAAAGTCATACTAATTATTTGAAGCAACAATTTATTGTGGAAGTTAAAAATCACCTGGGATGAGTTGGCTGCCTGTAAATGTCAAGCTGGTAATACTGATTGTTGTAGATGAAGCAGCGGCGTTTCTTGTAGATGGTAAAATGTGCATCGTCCCTTTGCGGTAACAAATTGAGGTAATCCCTATGCGTGAGTTGAGTGCGCACTTCCACAGATTGTCCATTGCTCGGGTGGAACTTCCTTAGTGTATGAATGTAAGACCAGTGACCCTTCTGCCCTCGTTTCCGAAGCCGCACTTGGGCTTTTCGGATATCACTGTGCAAGTAATTGTGAACGACGTCGAAGTCCTGAAACGGCGGGAACTCCGAGTCTGGAACGAGAGGGCTCTTGACGAGGAACTTCCGTTTCTTCGCGTTGATATTGAGGCGGTCGCCGGTGTCGATACCGATCCGCTGGCAGACGCAAGCGATGAGCCGGTTAATCTTTTTTTCGAAATCTGTGGAATTGTCGATCACGTCGAAGTAAGGGTGACCGATCCAGGCGGATGCAGCTTTGTAGTCCAAATCTCGGGCCAGCCCGACGCCTTCTGAGCGGCAGGCATGGTCCTAGAACAGATAGAGGAATAAATTATTGAAGGAGAGGATTATGTACAAAATTGCACTTAACTAAATATTATATACAATTCAATATTTATTTCGTCAAATTACATGCTCACTGCTAGCGTATGAAAAAACTAATACCAGAATGTAATTACAGGGACGGAACACAATATAGAAAAATTTAAACATGTATAATATTAAAAGAATGTTTACTATTAAAAAACTTCTATTCATTGCAAGCGTTTATAAAATAAAATGGTTTGATATATTTAACAATAAATAAAGAACAACAATAAATTAACTAATAATATTAGGGGTTAAAGTATGAAATTGCCGTTTTATTGCAATAGGTTC